ACTCAACTGTGGATCATACTCGGAAGAGATATTAATTTTTACTGACTCAAAGAATATTCCTTCCCAAGTGATGCATCACTGTATGTGAAATTCTGGATTCCAGGTATGCAATTAAACGCTGCTTTTCTAAGCATCTCGTCAACCTCCTGGATAAACGGCCTGAATTGCATAAGTGCAGTGTCTTAAAACCCATGAGCTAATATATGGTTACTGGGAAGTTTACATGCCCACTGGTATGACTTACCTGCCTCACTCACCTAATGTGAATTATAATTGGTTTGGACATAAGGAGAGGTCTAAAGTTTTCCCTATAAATGCTGCCACACAGCCAGAGCTTGGAGTTTTATCATATAGGCCTAGAGTTGCTCACAGAAATACAAAGTCCAAGGCACAGAGGACCAAAGCAGCATGGCTGGTAAGTGAAAAAAAAAAAAAGTCTCTTTGTTCATATGGAATGGGAAAGTGAATAATGTACCGTGTGTTAGCTTTCTCTGTGGGGTTCTGTTCTGTAAAGCGATCTCAGCTGTTGCCATGCACTACATTTTGAGATTATGCATATGTTCTTTTAGTATTTTTCTTTCCTGAATTTTCCAAAAGATGCAAACAAGGAAAAGAAGATAATCCATCCCAGTTAATTATTATAAAACTGCAAATAGAGCAGAAGAAGTTCTAGCAAACTGCAAACTCATTTTTAGCATGAAATTTAATGAATCGGAGAGTAGGTCGTGTATGAATGAATCTTGTGTTAATGGGGATATTTATGCAAAGAACAGACCGTGGACTAGATTTCTGGCTGTAGATCCAGAGTCAGCAATGCCATTTTAACTATTTGTTACAATTACTGTGAAAGGAAAAGGCTCTTTAAAAATACAGACAAAACAAGCACAAGTGCAGCAGTGAAGTCTTAGGAGGGAGGATTATTAAATCTTAATCTCTTAGGGAGGAAGGTATTAAATCAATACCCTTTAGCAAGGCTGGCTGTGTACTCACTTAGGCCTGACTTGCTAGGACCTCTGTAAAAATGTATGGAATCATAGAATGGTTTGGGTTGGAAGGGACCTTTAAAGGCCTCTCACTGCAGCTCCCCTGCAATAAGCAGGGACATCTTCAGCTAGATCAAATGGCTCAAAGCCTCATCCAGTCTGATGTTGAAGGTTTCCAGGAATAGAGCATCTCCTACCTCTCTGGGCAACCTGTGCCAGTGCCTCACCACCATCACTGGAAAAAATTTCTTTCTTGTGTCTAATCTAAATTGACCTCCTTCACTTTAAAGCCATCACTCCTTCTCCTGTTGCAACAGGCCCTGCTAAAATTTGTCCCCGTGTTTCTTACAAGTCCCTTCACATATATAGAAAATGAGGCCTGAGTGCAGATGCTGCTGCTTCACCTCTTCTAGGCACAGAGCACATGCTGTGCTGGCTTTCTGGTGCATAGGCTTGAAAAGCTCAGGAAATGAATAAAACCCAACCATGCTCAGAGCAGAGGCTTGAGTGCAGAAATGTCATGCATCCTTTTCCCCTCATGCAGCTGAAGAGAGGCACAGCTACCCCATTCTCACAGGTTTAGGAGAAAGGATTGCACAGACTCTTAGGACACAGATATTTGTCTATAGACTATTATTTGAAATATTGAATGTTATTGTTCTGAGCTGCTTGTGCCGGCATCCATGCACAGCACCTGCTGTGTGCCTGGCCTGATGGTAATTAATTAATGACACTCTTGGTGCAGCCACTAACTGTGATATTATCTACCTGTTTACAAGCAGAACTTGGGCTGGGAGGGAGTTAGGTCCAGACAATATGCATAAGGCTATTGATCTCCTCATAAATCTCATCTGTGGAGGAGAGCTAAAATAAATGGCAAAAGACAATTTGATAGTTGAAGCTGAAATATTGGACTTATTAGAAAAAAATCCTTCTTTTTAACTAATGAACTATACTGTAAAGTGGACAGTTAAAACTTTCATCTACAGCAATGGGGGAAAACACCCACAAACCAATTGCTTCTGCATTGTAACATTTCCTTTTAAGCAATGATTTGCCAATAACTTAGCCAGAACATTTTAGCAAGGTGATCCCTAAAAGCTTCCTCTTTAAATTTCAGGCACCAGCCTGTCCTTCTTAACGACAACGTTCCCATGGCATGAAATGTCAGAAGCAATAGCAGCATTTAAGGAACAAACTGGTGCTTGCTGAGCATGGTCAGGATTTGCCTGTGGCATAGCCAAGGTCCAAGAAATATCCAAGCCCAAGTTTAGGTAGAGATGTCAAAAGTGCATGGGGAGACTCCTCATGGTGCCATGCACAATTTTTCTGTAAAAACCTGTGAGGGTCTGTGTGCAGGTGTGTGTGCACAAAGCTGTTTTCACTTCTCTCTCTCTCTTTCTCCTCCTCCCACCCCCTGACACACACACCCTGCAGACGGACACACTTTTTTCCCAGAAAGCTTTTATGCATTTATGGGTCAATCTCTCATGGATCTGCTTGAACAGAATCCCAAGGGCTGTGCATAGAGAACATGGAAAAGTACCTAAAAAGATCCTATAAATTTGATAGCATGATTTTTTTATATGATGATTTTTTTATAATGTGCAGCACTACTGCTGCTACTAAGGATTTTGCAATTTGTTTCACAGTCTCACACTCAAAATAATTATCTCAGCTTCTGTCTGCCACTTTTAAGCTTCAGTGTCATTACATGTAAGGTGTGAGTTACACCTGTAAACATCTTGTTTGTGTATTAGCATTAAGAGGACCTGCCCACAGAATGGGACATGCTGGATTCTCAGAAGAGATGAGCAGAGCAGGGTAGTGATGGGAGCCTGCAATGAGGTATTCTTTGATCATGAGTGTGTAGCAGTAGCTGGAAGTTAAAACTTCCAAATAATATCTTTACTCCATTCCAATGGAAGAGATGTGTGCATAAGTGGGAGAGGTAGGGAAATACATTTAAATGTAATAGGCTACAAATAACAGGTGGTATGTGACTAGGAGCTGACTGGGGAGCCCAGCACAGCTTCATCCCAGTCTGGGCACTGTCAGTTTGGCTTATTCCTGTGTCCTGGTCCCATGGCAGCTTTTGAAGTTCACATATTAGTGCATGTCACTAGTGTGTCACTGTCAGTCTCCCTTCTGGAACGAGCCAAGGTCCCAAGAGAAGATCTGAGCCCAGCTAACAGGGTACCTTAATTACCCAGACAGTACAGAAGGTGCCCATGCCATGTTCTGCTGCCTTCAAAGTCTGACTATTGGAGAACTTCTGGAACAATCAGGAACTTCAGGAATACTTCAGGCTGCAGATCTCCATTCAAAATGCTCCTGCTATTTAGGGCATTGTGAATGGAAGAGTAAGACAGAAAATAAGAAGCATGTCTTAGCATGTATGGCCCAGAAGAGATCTTGGCCAAACACTTTTTCATATGGACTTGTTCAATCTACATCAAGTGATTCTACTCCTGGGGAGTGTTGATACAGGTCAGTCTGCACCACCATTCCAGGGGCCCAGGTCTCTCCCTAGTGTGTGTCATAAATACAGTACAGTGTAGAAAACCACTCGACCTCCTGTACCTGGGATGGCAGGAGTGGGATTTGCTGATGAAATTCCTTGCTTAATTGTTCAACGAGGGAATTTGAGGACAGACAGAATAGCCCAAACTTCTCAGGGTACTGAACCACAGAATCATAGAGTCATCTAGGTTGGGAAAGACCTGTAAGATCATTGAGTTCACCGAGGCAGCCCCAGTGAGTCATGGCCATCTGGTTGCAGCGTGTTTGGATGTGTTAAGGACAAACTGTGCTCAGAAAGAATAAAGGAGTAGATAGGCTCTTTTAGGGAGTAATTTCCCATCCTGAAACAAGGCACAATTAATAACAGGTGACATTTCCTAGAATTCAAGTGTCACTGCAGATTCATACAGAGTTGATGTGAAAGAAAGTGACAACGCAAAGGAGAGAAGGTAACACTGAGGTGAATTCATCTGTTACAAAATATGTGCTTCACTATGCAGTGCTGAAACTCTTAGTCCTATATTTTAATTTCTTTAACACAGTTACTGGAGCAAGGGAAGAAATTGGGTGTTACCTGAAAAGGATGTTATGAATTACATGACTGAACTGGTTTGCAAAAGAAGATTCTAATATAGTTTACTCTGGGTACATGAAACCAAATACTAAGATTGCTTCTAGCTTTCAGTTTCTGAGGTCCAAATGAGTCTTCTCTTGCTATCCACAGAGTTTCAAGCATTGCCTGTGCAATCCTTACATTTACAGCCACCACACAAGCTCTGCAAACACTACTTGGCGTGCAGGAAGTTGCCTGGGTCAGACACATTCTGCTTGACCAGTATTCTGACCAGGGTTAATATTTCTCATTAATTCAGCCCTCATTCTTAACCTTTGCCCATAATCTTTGATGCAAAGGTCTGGTATGTAGCATTCACCTGTTTTATAAACAAAGCACACAAGAGGCCTGCAAGGCAACTGAGCCAGAGCTGGGAATAAACAGCCAAAACTGACGCAACAGCCACAACTTGTTCTTCCTGACACGCTGTCTGACAGCACAAATGGGCTGCTGGGTTTTGCTCTTTCAACAGTAACTAACCTTTCTATCAAAGAAAAACAGTTTGCTATGCATCCAAGGATAGGGTGAAATCTTATATTTGGCCTGAAAATTGTTTGCGTGACATTTAAGAGAATGCAAAATGTGGGTAGGAGAGTGTGTCAACATCAGAAAACTCTCAGCAAATTATAAGAAATTTGAAATTTAAGAATTAAAGTCTTAGCATTTTAAAATCACAATTAGACTTTGCATATAACATCGTCCAAGCTTCAGGTGTTAAGTTGCAAGGAAATGAGATTAGGAGGTGAGGACTGAGAGTGAAAAATGAATGAAAAATGAATCCTTCAGCCCCACTGGTCCGATCAGGGCTGGGGGCAAAGGCTCCACCCTCACAGGAAATATTGCAAACAGCCTTTAAAGAGGTGAAAGGCACCAGCCATTCCTTGAGCCAAGAGAAGTAGAGAAGGCCATTGGGAGGAAAGCTTCAGAAGCTGCTTAGAGAGGACATATTGATCAGATATGGGCCAAGGTGAGCAAGGGGGAAGCTCCTTCTGTGGTGCTGTTTGTTATTTTCTTACATCCAGACATCAGGTTCAGCTCTGTAACTGATACAGAGGACTCTGTAACTTCTTTAAGGAGTTTTGATCCAAGGGAAATAAAAAAAAAAAAAAGAGGATGAGAAAATTCTTCCATCAAGATTTAGGAGCAGGATTTTTCACAGGGATTGCATTTTTTCCACTTACCGTGTGCGTGGGAAAAAGCAAGCTGGTCAGAGTGAGATTTGGGAGAACAGGTATTTTATCTGAGGTTAAAATGTACTTTACAAAAGGAAGGAGGGGAAAGTCTGCAGCTATTTGAGGTTGTCAGACAAGTACAAATGAGAGTCTGACAAATCTGACATAAGGGAAAGAAGCAAAGCAGAACTTCAGGAAGGTATCATTGCAAAGGGAAGGAAGGCTACAATGAGCAGAGAAGGCTGAGACATGAAGTTAAGGCAGAGAGGATACGAAAGTTTAGGGGATTTTTTTTTGTGGTTGGTGTGTTGCAGTGGTGGTTTTTTTTGCTCACATGCTAATATTTATACATATGCAAACTGACCAGTTCAATAACAATTATAAATGGTCCCATGCTGCTTTTCCAACTCCTGTTTTTGTAAAGACCAATCTCCCCCACCTCATAGCTGGTTCTACAATAGATGTGCTTCATTGCTAAGTTTCTGAAGGTTGGCTGGTTTTTTGCTAAATAGTTATATTCCTGAAAAAATGGAAGTACATGCTGCTCACTTCAATACTGTAAAGGAATGTGTTCCTCCCCATTTGAACTGTGACTGCATTGCTGAGGCTGCTAATGCAGTTATTTCAAGGCTTATCTAAACTTGATAAACTAAAGATCATGCTGTAAAACAATCTCTATGCTAATAAATCTGGTTGAACATGGGATAATAATTTTTTTACTCAATAGTGTCACAGGATAACTATGTTCCACTGCTAAGGACTGCACTCTTATTCTTTCCCATTCTCCCTCTTTGCAGGGGGAGAGGGGATGGGGAATAATAAAAATATACACAATACCCATAGGGGGAAAAAAGAAATCTTTTTCTTCTGTACTCCTGCACTTCATTTAAACCATTGAGTTATCTTCTGCTAGAGATTCCCCCTTAGGCTCTGAAGATGTGAGCCAAACCAATCTCAGATGCTGCTTCTTTGGCCTCTGATTGAAGCCACAGTTCACATGCAAGAGCTTTCTACAACATATTTTAGTAGTGTTCTCTCTCCAGTTCTGCCATCTCTCCTGCTGCCAAATGACAGCCCAGTGTCCATCAACATGTTCTCGTTAGGTGCTTCCAACAGTAGCAGCTGTTAGTTTTATCAGACATACATGACACCAAACTGGGGCTAGAGATCACATCATGGTTTAAAACACACAAATGTTTCTCTGCTCAATCAGGTTCCTTTACTTCTCATTCAGAGGCAGCAAGGCTGTGCCTCTGCTAGTATAGCACCATGTCAGAATGGATGACACCTTGATAGAATTAGCTGAGGTCAGCCAGAATTTTATCTAAGTAACTCACAGATATTCAATTCTCTCACGTTTCTCTCCTCTCAAATACCTTCCTGATTTTTCATTAGTACTGGATATACTACTCCTCCTATATTTAGTTATGCAGATGGTCTCTAACAGCTTATACAAGATGGAGTCACTTCCAAAAAAAAAATAATGCTTACAGATAGGTTATTTCTGGGTTTGGTGGAAACCTCAGATTGGTACCAATTGGTGTGTTTGTTCTTCCTCTTTGGCTGTGCCCTCAAGTTTTCTTGCTCTTCTCACTTTTTCCTAGCTGCAACGCAGCCAAGTACCAACTGGCACCTGAAAGAAAATGCAAGAGAACATCACACAAGTAAATTTTCTAGCGACGAATTGATTGTGAGGAGAGGACAGGCCTTCACTCTCACCTTCAGTGGAACAGAACAGCCTGAGCAAAACTTGATATTCATTGCAGAAACAGGTATGGCTCCCAGCGTCTTTCATGGAGAGAGTAATGCTGCCTCAGGACATTCTTTTGGCCTGATATGCACTCCAGGGCAGCAAGGTCATAGCTCAGAGCCAACATGCTGATTCACACAGATGTTTGAGGTGTTTGTTGTATTATTCCTATCTCAGTGAGCTGTCACAGCTTCCTTCAGTTTCCAACATATGGCACAAACTCATCTCAGGGGAGGGTTACATCCCTACTGAGTCTGTTGATGATTAAATCTCTTTTTCAGCAGTGGAGTGAAAAAGATATTGTTTGTTTTCCTTAAAAGGTCCAAAACCCTCGAAGGCAGCTAAGACTCATGCCACATTTGGTATCTCCAGCGAAGTGAGCAAGGAGGGCTGGAGTGCAGTTCGACAGTCTTCAAGTTCCAACTCTGTGAGCATCTCCATCTCCAGCCCACCTAATGCTGTCATTGGACGTTACAGGTTGGGTGTGCAAAGTGGCAGTGCCTCTCCAGCAAGTCTTGGAACTTTTGTTTTGCTTTTTAACCCTTGGTCTTCAGGTATGAACTTGTTGAATTTCCCCTGAAAGAATTAAGTTGTTTGTAGCTTCATTAATATTTGCAGCTTCTCCATTTGACCTATACCTTTTTAATACAGGGGCTGAATATTGACCACATAATGTACCAGTGAGGGGAAAAAAAAGGCTTTAAAAGTTTATTAGGACCATCTGGTATATAAAATCAGCTCAGTATCATGTACTTACTAGAGAGCTCCTTGCCCTAAAAGATTAAGTTCTGCTTTTGACAGAGCTTCCCTACTTCTGCACAAATTTAGAAGAGTGTGTCTGGCCTCTGTAGAACCAAGAAGAGTCATATTTAACCATCTTCTCACAGATTTGACAGTGCCATATCTCTGTCTTCACTCACACACCACCCACCCCTCTAATTGTAAAAAATCCCAAGCTTCATGATCTGTTTATAATAACTACAACAGCAAAGGGTAGATATCTGCAAGCATTCTGAGAGATGGAGACCAAGGCTCCTGGGGTTTTGTTTTATTTGCCTGCTGTGATTGTACATATCTCTGCTTTGGTTTTTCAGGTGACGATGTGTTCATGTCTAACAATGCTGAGTGTGAGGAATATGTGCTAGAAGAGTTTGGCATCATTTTTGCAGGCAATAAAAATCATATCAGCAGCTTTGGATGGAACTTTGGCCAGGTAAATGTAGCTCTGAAAAACCAGACAGTGTTTTGTGCTGGTTTTTGTATGAACTGGATAATTTTCTTTTTCCAGTTCATCATATACAACTCTGAAGAGCAGGAGGAGTCTGGTACTGAAATCAGAACTCAGCCAAGCCCTGTTACACTGATTAATATGAGAAATCATAGTTGACTAGTTCTGACCTAGGACTTAGTGGTGCAGCAGAAAACTTACTGCCTGCTGGGCAATGCTGAGAGGCAAAGACCTGGCCTAAAGTCCACAGATTCCAAGTTTTGAAAAGCTCTTTGAGTTCTGATTTTCAGAGAGTTTTGTGGCCACGTTTTTCCATGGTAATTCTTGGCTGAGCTGCAGCACTTCATTCAGTGGTTAAAAAAAAACATTCAGTGCTTATATGGCTCTCTGCATCCTGACCTTTAGTAATCTGTGTTTCCAAAACACTAATTTGTTTCTGTAACGTAGTTTCAAGGAGACATCCTCAATATCTGCCTTGCCATGATGGATCGAAGCTTATACTATCGTCAGGATCCTGTCACTGATACATCTCACCGACACGACCCCAGATACCTGGGCCGTGTCCTCAGTGCAATGGTAAGCAACATAGTCCAAAAGTCCAAATTACTAACTGTCCTTTTAAAGTAGTTAGTGAATGTAAGTATGAAGACATTTCTCAGAGAACTTTAGGCCACTGTCTGTATGCACCAGAGAATATGGGTAGTGAAATACGGGCCAAAGAAACACCTAAGTGGTCATCTGATCTGAACCTGCTAGATCTATCTCATCTGGAGTATTTCAGATACTTAGCACTTTGATAAGTAGTCAAACTGAAAGCATAAGACATGGGGTGGTATGTTGAGGGACCAGGATCGTAGAGGTTTTTAGTCCAATGCCCCATTTGAAGAACTACAGCAGTACTAGATCAGCTCAGCTGTGGATTTGACAGGCTGCTTTGAAAATCTCCAAGGAAGGAGGTTTCATGGTCTCTCTGGGTGACCAGTCCAGAGCTGCACTACCCGCTTAGGGAGGGATTTGTCTCTTATGTCAAATACGGTTTTCCCAAGCTTTTACTTTCTGCTGTTGCCTCTTGTTATTTAAAGTGAAAGGTTAGTTAGAACACACACGTAGTGTTCTATTCCAGGAGTTGTAAGCTGCTATTACAATCCCCCTATCCCTTTAACCAAACTGAACTAGCCCAGTGCTCTCAAATTCTCCCTGTAGATATGTACTCCCAGGGCCCCTGACTGTCTTGGTAGCTCACCCTCCTGGACCTTCTTCAGTGTCTCAACATCCCCTTGAACTGAGGGACCTGAAAAGAGAGCCAGGATTCCTGACACAGCCTTGCCAGGAATAATTATTTGGGATTAACAGCTTCCCTCAACCTCCTGGTCACACTTTTCCCAATGTAGCCTAGTGTGGGCTTCCCCTTTCTGATGAGGGAGAAGTGTTGGCTCAAATTCAATATGGCATTTGCTGTAACTCCCAAGCTACTTTCAGTCAGGCTGTAAACTCTCAATTTATCTCATAATTTTAGTGAATACCTTTTCAGGTCAACGCCAATGATGACCAAGGGGTGGTGCTAGGAAACTGGAGTGGAAAATACGAGGATGGGAAAAATCCGAGCAGCTGGACTGGAAGTGGTGAAATCCTGCAAAGCTGGAAGAAATCAGGATTCAAACCTGTTAGATATGGACAATGTTGGGTTTTTGCAGCAGTTTTGACAACAGGTATGTTTTATGCCGTGCACACAATTGACACTGCACATGTTCTATTAAAAGAAGCACTAATAAAACTTCTTGCATGGAAGTCTTTTGAGACATTGCTATGTTATATGAAACTTCCAGAAATATTCCTTTCTGACTATGATTTTCTATTCACTCTTTAGTGCTTAGATGCCTGGGGATTCCCACCCGTACAATTACAAACTTCAGCTCTGCCCACGATGCAGATGGAAATCTGCGTGTGGATGAATTTTATGATGCTTCTGGAAACCATTTGGAGAGAGGAGCTGATAGCATATGGTAAGGCTCATTATTTAATGGTAGGACTTACCAATGCCTATAGTGTCTTCAGATACAGAGCATAGTTCTAATGACAAATTATCTGCTTTAAAATTGCCTTAAAAGGAACTACACACGCAGGATCAGTAAAAAATACTGCAAAATCAAACAAAACTTGGTGTTTTCATCCTTTCTCAGTTAAACAGAGAATTGTGACATGAATTGCAACAGCTAATTGAAGCCAGAGCAGGCAAAGTTACAGTTGTGATGCCACAGATGACTGAAAATTTGCAATATGCACTGGAAATATCAAACAGTGAGGATTTGACTTAGTTTGAAACTGTTCTTCAAAACCAGTTCACGTTAAACTGTAGAAGTTCAGCTTTCCTGCCCTTGTCTTGTTTTTGCAGTAAAAATAATTTAACTATTGCCTCTATTAAGCATCAGATGCAATTCAAACAGGTTTGCACTCAGCAAAGGGCAGAAGCAGCTCCTCACTTCTTGTCTTGTTTACTCCCCTTGTTGCTCTGGACCCACTCTAAATATAAGTGATATGTATAACTGTAGCATTGTGCCAGAAGGAAACCAGCTAAAACTAACAAAGTGCACGTGCTCAGAACTTTTGGAGAAGAGCAAGTTCAAGACATTTTGCATGTCTATTCCACAAAGCAATCTTCAGCACCTGTCTAGTTAACATAGTCAGGGTGGAAGTTCTCAGAGAAGAAGCTGTGCAGATTGAGGTATTTGATACAGTTAACTAAGGTGGCTGATCAATGGATGTGAACAGGAATTTCTAAACACATCCTGGTAGCTTACTTTGTTCATTCTTGCACATAGGAATTTCCATGTCTGGAATGAGAGTTGGTTTGCGCGCAGTGACTTGGGCGCTTCGTACAGCGGATGGCAAATTCTGGATGCAACTCCCCAGGAACAAAGTGGAGGTACGTGAATTTTATATGCTGAAAATTGTAAAGTCGGTCACTTTGAAAGAAAAAGAAGTAAAATCACTGTAAAAGTAATTTCTCATCCTGCTCAGAAATAGAGTGGCAGAAAAGAATACTTTATCTGTTGCATTAGAAAAGCTTTAGATCATCTGTGGATGACAAGAAAGAAACTAGACTTCTAGGAGTCTCTCACAGCCATTCCTGTATTTCCAGTGTAGGTATCCAGAGCTATTGAAAATCAAGGGATAATATAAAACAAATGAAGTGTACATTTGGAATAAACACAAGATACACTGATGACTGTCCTGCTATGAGATGTATGAAAAGGCTTCAGTGGGACAGCAGCACTGAGCAATATGTGTCCAGTAACCTACTTACTGTCAAAGAATTGATCATGCCTAAATCATTTTTTTCTTGATGCTGTAGGAATTTATCAGTGTGGTCCTGCCTCACGGAGAGCCATCAAAGAAGGCGAAGTAGATCTGGACTATGATTGCCCATTCGTATTTGCAGAAGTGAATGCAGATTGTATGTACTGGAATTATGATGCAGCAACTGGGAAGAAAACATTAATCTTCTCTAAGTCTACTGATATTGGCCAATCCATCAGTACAAAGGCAGTTGGTAGAGATAATCGTGTAGATGTCACCAGTGATTATAAATATGAAGAAGGTAAATAAACCCACAGTTTCTTCTGGTTGCGTAGCTGCTTCATTGCCCAAAGCATATAAACTTCAGGCTAGGAGTCTCTTAGTGGGAAATTTTGTGCATCTATAAGGTAGGAGCAAAATTTATACTCAGTTTATTCAGTTCTAACAGAAAAGAGAAAATAAAGAGTAAAAAATACCACCTTACCCTTTCTGATATGGAGCTGCTTTGTGGACTGAAATAAGGCAAGTCCAAGTAACTCCCAGTAAAGCATTCACTGTTCCATCTGTCTATTACTGATGTGCACTGCCTGCCCCTGCTTAATGAGAGCTAGGCTGCAGCCCAGTTCTTTGTCTGCGGGATGAAATGTTCATTACACAAACCTAAGCTAAATCAGCACTTAGGCCCAGGAGAAGCAACTCTTTCAAAGGGTCAAACAACATGTCAACTTATCAGACCTTTGGGTTTGATTGTGCCGATGTGGGATCCTTGAATGTATTCCTCTTATTCCTTCGCTCATGCACAGCTTTTGCTTTCCCTGTTAAGCTGTCCTTGTCTCAACCCATGAGCCTCCCTGTGGAAATGGGGAGTGAGGTGCTGGGTGGATGGTTGGCTGCTAGTCTAAGTCAACTGACCACATGGTGCCATCAGCCTTGCCTTATATTTGGGGCCTTTACTGTATTAGCAAATCAGAATTCACATTTCTAAATAATACAGCCATAAAAAGGGATAGAAATAGGAAGATTGAGAAACCCTGGATTTAAGATTTGTGCTCCAAAAAAAAACCACTATTAGAGGTACAGTGACATTACTGACTGCAGACACAGAAAATTAGGTATGGCACTGGAAAACAGAGAGGCTGTTTATCTGTAAGGACAGCTGCTACATTCTGCTAGCTTGTCTCTAGCAGCCATGTCAAAGAAGAGATGCATGTTAACTGTTGAGGATAATTTTCTTTGTTCTCTCTGACAGGCTCTACAAAAGAAAGGGATATCTTTAAGAAAGCCCGTAAGAAGCTAGGACTTGAGGATAAATTTGATCCTACAGCACCAACACCACAGGAAGTCGACCAGAAACCTGACATTGCAGGGAAATTCAAGGTGGCTGGCTCTCTGGAGATTGGCAAAGATCTCAACCTGCTTCTGGTTCTTGTAAATTTGCAGTCTGAACCTAAGACTGCTCACATAAATATGACTGCGTGGAGCACTCTGTATACCAGAAAACCCGTTCATGAGATCTGGAAGGATTCCATGTCTGTCACTCTGTCTCCTAAGGAAGGTAATTTTACAAATAACTTTCAATCATAATTGTTTTCTCAGGAAATGGGCACTGGAAGTTGGTCAGCTTGGGAGGTAAAAGCTCTCACAAGCTGCAGTCATGAATTTCTGTGTAGAAAAGGCTGAAAAAAACTATTGCATTGCCCTTACATTAACAAAGGCACAGTTTCACCTCATCATGCCCCTAAATACTTTTCACATTTTGGAAAATCTAACTCACACTGAGTAACATGAAGTATCATTTAATAAATGTGCATTTATACAGACAACATAAAAGCATAAAACCCAACTCCATCTTAAATGTGTTCTGGTTAATTATGAGGGGCCTTATTGAAAGATAACAGAACATGACAAACAGTATAAATGAGGAACACAATCCATTCGCACATTAGAATAGAATTAAAGTGTGAGGAATAGAAATAGCTGAAATAGCCCCCTAAGCTCCTCAGAAAAGAAAGTTTGTACTGGAGAATCATCATGGAGTAAAGGACCCCAGATTCTATTTTTTTCCACATTGAACTGGATAAGTATATGGAAAAAATTTTCAGTCTAAATATGAGTATTGTTGGAAAGAAGAAATTAAGTTACCATTAAGAGCTTGGGATAATAGATATATCAGCATCCCTAAAGTGAACTGAAAGGTCATCGAATCACGACTGATACTATCCCGTATTTTTCTTGGGCTTCAAGTCACTAGTGAGAAGCAGAAATAATATTTCATTTCATCAACATGTAATTTAACTTCTGGAGTTGGGAGCTATTGTGCCTCGTGGCACTGCAGTCCTGCAGGCACCTTGTGCTCACACAGGCTGTGTGAGCTGAATTTACAGTCACCTGGAAGCTTTGTCCCCAGATCTGATGGCAAGGACCATTTAAAGAGATCTCTGTCTGTCCCAGACATAGCATAAAAGGAAAATACTAACGTTAGGTACGAAACTCTGTAAGCTTATAAAAGTGTGTATCAATTCCTGGGTTTTATTTTTTTCCAGAGAAACAATTTCCCATTAAGATTAAGTACACTGATTACCAACAGCGGTTAACTACAGACAAAACAATCCAGGTAACAGCCTTATGTCACGTAGAAGGTGGGATTCAAGTGCTTGTGCAAAGAGACATCACCCTGGACAATCCTGAGATCAACATACAGGTAAATTGCTGTCCCTATGCTCTAATTGCCATGGCAGAGAAAAGAGAAAATGAGCTCTTATAAGATCTTTTTTTTCCTAAAGAGATGTTCTGCTCACATTCTGCCATGGTCCATCATAGCATCTCATTGTATCTCCACTTCTGATGCCTGAGAAGGCTGAGATCATAGAATCAGAGTCATGGAACTTAGGGGTTGGAATGGACCTTACAGATCATCTAGTCCCAACCCTCCCTGCCCTGGGCAGGGACACCTCCTCCTCACTCGATCAGGTTGCTCAAGGCTCATCCAGCCTGGCCTTGAACACTGCCAGGGTTGGGGCAGCCACCATGTCAACCTGTGCCAGGGTTGGCACCTCCATAACCTCCCATAGAGTGAAAAACTTCTTTCTCACATCCAACCTAGACTTTCTCTCCTTCAGTTTGAACCCATTTCCCCTTGTCCTAACACTGCAGTTCCTAACACAGAGTCCCTCTCCAGCTCCTTGTAGACCCTTCAGATACTGAAAAGTTGCTCTGAGGTCTCCACGCAGTCTTTTCTCTTCTCCAGGCTGATAGAAAAGAACACAGAGAACCTGCCCTTACAAGCATTTTCTTTGCACAGGTCCTTGGTGAAGCAAAAGTGAACAAAGAAGTGGATGTGGAAGTGGTGTTCACCAACCCTATCGATACGGAAGTGAAGGACTGTGTGCTGCAGGTGGAAGGCAGTGACCTGCTCAGAGGAATCCTGGAGTTGCGGTGAGTCCATGAAATGCCTCTTCCTGCTATTAAAGATATGTGAGCAAGGATGTAGGCATGGGTGATGTGGAACTGAACGCATGGCATGAGACATCATTTTCTTCTTGCCGTAACTTGGGAGGCCAATCAGCGCAGCATCGCGTCATGAGGCACACAGCTATGAAACAGCTCTTCATCTCAGCTGGGCTTAGGCTCCATAGTTTGGAAGGTCAAATAATTGCTGTCATAATTGGATAGAACTTGTTTTCCTGCCTATCTAGCAGGACCACACACTTCCAGCAAAAATTTCTTGCTTACCCAAGTTGTAAATGTTGCTGAGGCTGTTTGTCCTGCTGTAGGCCAGACAGGTTGAACCTTCTTGTTTTGATCATAGGGCCAGCACTGGGATAGATGACTGTTTCTGTCCATACCTACCCAAATTACAGCATATATTAACCAGGATTTTTTCCCCCACTTTATTAAATGGACTGCAGGTGCCAATCTGAGTGTTCAGCCTTCTAAACAACCTGTGTTTATATCAAACAGGTAGCCAAACCTGTCAAAAGCAGATGCACAGTGTCCCAGCTGTGGGAACAAAACTTAATGCAGATTGTTTAGACACAGGTCATGATCTCAAAGGGTAGGACCTCTGAAAAGCACAACCCCAAGTCTGCTCCATGCTTAGCTATTCCAGACACAGCAGATCAGAGTTTAAGGAGGATAGTATTTAAAGAGCAGTCTAAACCATGACAAGCAAGAGGTCTTTAGATGACCAAATTAACTTATCTAAGGCCTGGAACTTGAACACAGCTGAAATCCATGAGGCAGCAAGAAAGAGAACAGGAAAAATTGTGAATATTACAGTAAAAGTCTGGGTTGGGGTTTTTAATTTAAAACAAAAGTTTTTCCAAAACAAGAAGTACAGGCACACTTGTTTTCATGCTCTGCTTTCAAAACTCCTTGAAATAATCATCTTATGAGATTAATAAACAGAGCCAAAAAACTATTTGATGATGTTGAGTTAGAGAACAAGAAGACTGGAATAAAATAGGTTCCTTTTACTCTAGGTCCCATGTTCCTATTTTTATGCTTTGTCCTGCCCTTTTCCCCCACAGTATTTCACAACTGAAACAGGTTAAATTTTCACTGTCTTTCACTTTGTACCTACACAAAATTGTACTTAAATTTCAACATATCCTCACAAGTGCGGTTATTTCTGGAAAATACCTGGAATATGGGAGTGTTCTCTTTACTGAATACCCAGACAAACACAAACAAACATACACAGCAACTTAATATTGCCCTTTCTGCTTGAGCAATTAGGAATGGTCCATCCCATAATTTATAAGACCTCCTGAGGGAATTTAGCAACCTCATGTTGTCTATCCCATACAACTTTATCCTCAGGCAAGAGAAGACAATGTGACATGGTAGGGGAAAAACATAAACAAGTGTTTCCAGGAATTACAAAATAAACCAGTGTAAACCATTTTAACTTCCATTCAGAGTTTCCTACTCTGTGAACACTGAGGTTTTCTTGCTGCTATAATCTATTCTAATTCTAGGATTTGTATCAATATTCTTCATGGTCTCAGATGATTCTGTTTCAATAATTCAGTGATGTGTGTTACACTCCCTGTTCTGTATGAAGTCTTATCTCACACAATATTCTGATCTCCCCCTTTGTGGGCTTATCTGGGTCACTGCGCAATGGATTTGTGAGAGACCTTAGTGCAAGGATCTGAGAATTTAGATACTTATCATGTAGCCAAGTCCTGTGTGGTCTTTTCGTGGCCAACTTAACTGAACCTGTAAGAACTCTTACTTGAGGTGAAAGATTGTCAGTGAATGACTTGAACTCAAGCATGATGCATAAGGCTATTTCCAGCTTATATTTTTCCCTTTCTTTCCCTTTTTTAGCATTCCACCACTGAAAGCCAATGAGAAATCCAGAACCAAGTTTAAGCTCATCCCTTCTGAGGCAGGTCCCAAACATCTACTCGTTAATTTCTCCTGTGATAAATTTGCAGATATCAAGACCTTTAAGATGGTAAAAGTGATTCACTAATAAGAAGATGTACAAAAAATGATCTGTGTGTGTATAAATTGAACAAAATGTGATAAGAGATCTTGTATCATAAACCAGTGAGATCATTAGCAGAGCAAATGCTCATTTCCTGTGAAAAGGGATCACCAACATCATATCACTGCAATTTTACCTCATAATTTTAAATAAACTAAGGAATGATTTCTTCATTTACTGTTGTGAGTGTCCATGTTATTAAAAAGAGCATTTTACTTTCTGTTCAGAGACTGTTTGACCTTCGTCTGGTCTTTGGAAATAATTCCTTCTGCATGAACATCCAGAAACTCATTTTTACAAATGTTGTGACATTTTTCTTTTTTTTTTTTTTGTTGCTGTTGTTACATCACAGTGACCAAATGAAGCATAAAAAATGTTCAACAGGAATTTTGGGTGGTGTCCAATCTGACAGCAATTAGACAAACACATTGGGATAATTGCCCAGCTCAACATACATATTTTAGCATGCTGATATTTAGCACTTGCTGAAAGTCTGCTTTGGGAATCAAAGGGAGGGTAATGTTAAGTCTAAGGGTATTTTAACTTGAGAAGAGTTAGGAATTCTTCATTATAGATTGTGTATCTAGAAGTTGTCTTTTCAAGTCCAAGTTTAGTATAGCCAATTTACACCCTTTATGGGAGGGTTGGTATGGGCCAAAAGATGTTAAGAAGTTGCTAAGAGGACTGGAGCATCTCCCCTATGCGGACAGGCTGAGGGGGTTGAGGCTGTTCAGCCTGGAGAAGAAAAGACTGTGTGGAGACCTCAGAGCACTTTTTCAATATCTGAAGGCCCTGCAAGGAGCCAGAAAGGGACTCTGTTAGGAGCTGCAATGATAGGACAAGGGGTAATGGGTTCAAATTGAAGGAGGGGAAGTTTAGATTAGATATTAGAAAAACGGTTTTTTACTGGAAGGGTGGTGAGACACTGGCACAGGTTGCCCAGGGACATGGTGGCTGCCCTGACTCTGGCAGTGTTCAAGGCCAGGCTGGATGAGCCTTGAGCAACCTGATCTAATGAGGTGGTGGCTCTGCCCATGGCAGGGAGGGTTGGGACTAGATGATCTGTAAGGTCCGTTCCAACCCTTAAATTCTATGATTCTATATGTTCCAGGAGTAACTGGACTAGGTGTAGCCCAGTAAGTGACTTGGTTTATGGCCAACAACTGTGCAACAGTAAGTCAATCTCTGACTGAAAATGATCTGTCTAGATGAAGTGGGTGGAAAGCCAAGCTACAGCTATATTGCACTTTGGACTGTTGGGTCAGGAAGCAGTAAACTCTTAACAAGTTCCCTGAGCCAGTTCTGTGCCTCAGCTTCCACTACACATCACATGGTACCTGTGACTTGCTACAGGATCTCGCTGTTGAGGAACCCAAGATCAAATTGGCTGTAAAGTTTTGTCCTTGCAGCCTGTGAAATTGCTTTAGAAAGGCACTTGGCAGCCATCTAGTTTCCTGCTGCCAGTCACATGATGTCAGTACAAGGCTACACTGGCTATATGATGGGATGAGCTACAGAGAGGCTGTGCGAGTAACCCACAATAGTACCTTGTCTTTAATCCTGATGTTCCTCAAGGCTTGCCAGAGCCAAGAGCTCTCATCATGTAAATCACAGAATGTCTTGGATTGGAAGGGACCTCAAAGACCATCTCATTCCATCCCTCCTGCCATGGGCAGGGACACCTTCCACCAGAGCAGGTTGCTCAGAGCCCCATCCAACTTGACCCTGAACACTTCCAGAGATGAGTTATCCACAACTTTTCTGGGCAACCTGTGCCAGTGCCTCACCACCCTCACAGGGAAGATTTTTTTTCTTCTAATATCTAATCTAAATCTACTCTCTTTCAGTTTGAAGCCATTCCCCCTTGTCCTGTCACTCCAGGCCCTTGTAAATAGTGTCTCTCCATCTTTCTTGTAGGCTCCTTCAGGTACTGGGAGGCTGCAATTAGGTCACCCCAAAGCCTTCTCTTCTCCACGTTGAATAATCCTCATTCTCAGTTTTTCCTTGTAGCAGAGGTGCTCCATCCCTCTAATCATCTTGGTGGGCTCCTCTGGGCTACTGCAAACCACTGTAGAAGTTAAAGCTCAAGCACAGCCTTGGATTAAGAATGTGGATATACACTTAAAGACTTTTTTACATCTCTTGCTCATGTGAAAACACCCAAGCTGTGCTACAGTCAAGTGAATTGCACTAGCAGAAACAAGAGAGGCCTTTAAATTAGGCCTCTAGGGGAATTAAAAGGAAGGCAACACCCTTCTGCAACACTCCACATGCACATGAAGGTAATAGGCCTATGAAGTGTGAGTGTGGCTACTTGGATACGACTCACAGAAAAGTTTCTGCAACATTTTTTGTGGAAGTTACACTGCTCTCCTCTTTCTAGCAAAAAATAGCAATAACACAAGTGTAAGGTGCAGTTTGGTTACACCTTGGGGATATGAACAATGGACAAAATTAAAGAGATGAATGGAATCAGAGAGTTTTTCTCTGCAGGTTAGCAAACTGCACTGCAATTTCAAGACCAATATACGGGCAAAGGAAGAACAAAGTATTTTGAACCATTTTGGATGACAGGTGGGTGGAATTGAGCTAGGAAAAACACCTGCGACAACGTTCAGTCATTAGTCACTTAGGAACCATGACTGCTGCATTCCAAAGGGATTGCAACAGCAGCTCCTGGTGCTTTGGTGTGGTGAAGGTGCGGACTGGCAGGTGCCAGTTTGGGATGTAGGCCAGTCTGAGAGAGGTCCTGGTGGCTTGGTGAGTGCCTCTGTGGGCGTGCCTTGCGGAGGAAAAGGAGGTGGTTACAGCCAAGACAGAAAAAGTGTTCTGAGATTTAATTGCGTACGGGAGCAGCAAGGAAGAAGAAAGGAAATAGTCAAATGCCAGTGGGAGCAATGTGTAATGTCTGAAGCAATCACTGTAAGTACTGAATGCCTGAACTTAAGAACTGGTCGATGCGGTTTGTCACTAGGGCTGTGTGTGAAGATCGGGTAACATCAGAGGCTTGTGGCTCTTATGGTTTCCAAGGAATATGAATTAAGGAAAAGAGAAAAAGACCAACTAAAGTAGCACTGAACAGCAATCAAACCCATTTGAGGTGATTCCTGGAACAAGTCTTGACAGCCTGAACATCCTGGAAGCTTCCAAGAGAAGGAAGGACTGCTGAATTATAATGTAAGTGGAGATACTCCATGCTAGATAATGCTGCTGCTTAGTGGGAAAAGTGTTAGTGTTTTTCTTTCAAGATAGGGCTAGCATGATTGTCATATTAGCAAGTATCTCTTAGTCTTTATGGTATGAAAACAAAGTTTCTCAAAAAGGTGCAAGAAGCCACATGTCCTGTAAAATCAGCCTTAGAAACAGCTGTTGCAGTCTAAATTCTGCTTCTTCAGCTTGTTTTTTCTCTCTTTATAACTTAAAATTTGGGCTAATTTATTCTTAAGTTTCTACTGAGTGTGAAAACATGATCAGTGGAGCTGCAGAATCTTAAGCAGAAAATCCTCCTCAGAACAATGTTACCTTTTTACCTGTAACACTTTCAAGTGATGGTACAAAACCAGAAAGAAATATATTCATGACTGTTCAGATAGACAGGCTTAGAGTTTGCTCTGATAAAAACTACTCCCAGTTACTGGTTTGGGAGCTCTTTCTGAAATAAAACTTTTGTGAATCAGAGTATGGAGATAGCTAACAGAACAGGTAAACAGACATTTGTTTCTGGTGGGAGTTTATAATTTCATATAACTTAGGGGGTGCTGGAAATAATATGAGATAAAAAAAAACCTCTAAAACCAACTCAAAGCTATTGGACAAAACCAGAAGTGATATTAACCATCATGGAAGTTAAGTCATCAGGAAATGCTCCTTTTCCCCTCGGACAGCTTTTACATCCCACCACGCTCCCCATTTCCTCATCCTTAAAGATAACTTATTCATGGCACACCTATTATCTTTGTAGGAAGTTCTTCTTGTGTTGGGATTCAAGAGCATGCATTTCCTCTGAGTAAATAATTTTGGTATCTCCTCCCATAATTACACCCACGTTGAGTAGGAACTTTGGCATTAGACACACATATAATATAGGAACCAGTTAATTCGTTTGACAAGTCTACAGGTATTAATAACAACTCCTAAGTACCTCTCCCTTCTCTGAAATTTCAGCTGACAGCACAAAAAGATTGCTGGGGTTTTTCTTTATATGACTGATCTGACTTGGACATCCTTGAAGAACAAAGTAGAAGTTGTATGCAATTCTCATAAGCTAAGGGAATGGCAGGTGAGTTCTGCAAGTCATTTGCTTCCCTTCAGCAGGTACTTGATTCAGGACTGTTCCCTCAGGATACATGCCCTGTAGGTATCTGCTCAGATTTCTTATCTGAAGGATATTTTATGCTGTAGTTTGTTCTTGCTCTTCATTTTCAAAGTTTTATTGCTGTTAAATTATTAAGACCTGTTTGAGGATAATTTTTGAGCTAAGCAGAGGATATTTGGGGCAAGGAGGTGAAAAGAAATTCCCATTACTTCAAAAGGCACCATTTTTTAAATGCTGTTTCAGAGATGTGTTATGCTTTGTACTGACAAAACTTGTGTAATCTGTCCTAATGGAGCTGTGGGCATGGAGCCTTTAGGTGGGAATTCAAAGATGCATTAAAACCCTCCCAAAGGAAAACAGTAATGACAATATCTGCTTTTCAAAGATAAAAATGCAGATGAACTGGGAAATTGCAAAGCAGGGCTGGTTCTCTCTCATTTAATGATGGAACAAACATTTTCAAATCAGTTTTTTAAATGTTGCTTTGCAGTGAAAGCACCAAACTGCTCTTCACTGTTGTCCCAGATACTTATGCCAAAGGTTCTCCCTTCCAGCCCAGCAATACTTACTCACATTACTTCTTTGTGGTCTTGGACTACAAAAAATTTATTCTTCCTTGGATTAACTTCCAGCACTTTTTTTTTGCAGAAGTTAATTTTTACTTTTACCTCTTCTTCAAAGATTGTATGTAAATTGTAGTTGAATATGCAGCTATATTGCTTCAGGTCTGACTTAGTGTTTCATGGCTAAGCTTGATGGTGTGAGACAGAGGCGAAGCTTGTTTGAAGATCCCTACAATAACAGTACCATAGGCCTCAATCCTTCCTTTCCAATCTATGCTTTTTGTTGCTGTTATTGTTTTCTTCTGATTTCCCTTTAAAATGCTGGCAGTCATGTCCCCCTATCCTGTCCCCACTTCCCCTACCCCCAACCTCACTGAATTATTGATACTGATACTAACAAAAATGACCTGGAAGAAACTTCATCAAAGTACTTGCCCTGAGCGTTTGGCAAAACTTGCAACAAAATGCTTCAAGTGTACTTTGTAGAGTCTCCTAGGGCAGATGTAACTGGAGAAAAAGGTGCTTCTTCATGCTCCCAGAGACAGTATAACTGCTCAGGTTTAAGCATGGCAACAAAACCTGAGCTATAGAAAGGAAAATAATCTTGCAAGGGAGATCATATACATACTTGCTTGCCAAAAAGGTAGTTTAGCATTTAAGGTGGCAAGAACCACTTTATGGGTTTTAAACCACAGACCATAATAAGAGCAGATGTGCATGAGGACACCATATCAGAGAACTCTGGGCACACTGCAAGTCAGAATTCCTCTAGGACATGAGGTTAATGTCTACTAGATGAGGAATTCCAGTGGTCCAGCTGTTACTGTGAACAGAGCTAGATTCAGTCAGACTGATTTCTTCATCAAACGCTCCAATATGTCCTCAAATGCCTCTTGTTCAGCTATGTAAGACAGATGATCTCTCAGCATGCATTTTTCCTTTGCATCTAGGCCAAATGGCATCAGCATCTAAGCAGGAAAAGTAAGATGTCCTAATGGCAATTCCTGGGATCCTAAAAATATGTATGCTGAAAATGTAGAGGGGCTACAAGACACTTTTTTTGATGCTGATAATGAAATTAGACCAATTTGTGCATGTAATTATTTTTCTAAGCCCAGTGGTAACACAGCATCCAGCACTGTGTAGGAATTATGTGAGTCCTTGGTGTAAACCCTGTAACAAAACCCAAGCAAAAATGTCTATTATTGACCATTAGACTAATTTAATGCAGCACCTGCTTTTGAGTTGTCCTTCCTCCCACAAAAGATAATTGCTCTTAACCACCTCATCATGCCACTAAGCAGCAAATTGCTTCTTTCCATGCTGGCTGCTTCTTTTTGTCTTTTCTTGTGTGTTACAGATCTGACCCCAACACACATCAGCTGGCAACCATCAGTGAACGCAAGCAACCACCACACTGACAGATATGCCAACACTGAGCTGACTGTGAGGCGAGGACAAGCCTTCACCATCACCCTGTACTTCAACAGGCCTAAGCAGAATGGGGAGAGCCTAGCATTTGTCACTGAAATAGGTAACATTCCCATAGCTTAAGCCATGTTCTCATAGAATTGTAGTCTTTAGTCCTTGATTCTCTCCTTGTTCTATTGAGAGATGGAATTTTTCTTCACATATTTTTCATGCTTTTCACCCCCCAATATGGTTGATTTCAAGTGTGAGGTTAATACTGAAACCACACTCTGGAATGGAAATCAATTCACCTTTCTAGGTGAGGTGATTCTCCTCCTCTGCTCTGCTCTTGTGAGACACCACCTGGAATACTGTGTGCAATTCTGGTGTCCTCAACATGGGAGGGACATAGAACTGTGGAGCAAGTCCAGAGGAGGGTGACGAAGTTGATAGGAGGACTGGAGCATCTCCCCTATGAGGACAGGCTAAGGGAGTTGGGGCTGTTCAGCCTGGAGAAGAGAAAAGACTGCGTGGAGACCTCAGAGCAACTTCTCACTGTCTGAAGGGCCTACAAGGAGCTGGAGAGGGACCCTGTGTTAGAACCTGCAGTGACAGGACAAGGGTCAATGGGTTCAAACTGAAGGAGGGAAAGTCTAGGTTGGATGTGAGAAAAACGTTTTTTACTATCAGGGTGGTGAGATCCTGGCACAGGTTGCCCAGGGACGCGGTGGCTGCCCCAACCCTGGTGGTGTTCAAGGCCAGGCTGGATGAGCCTTGAGCAGCCTGATCTAGTGGGGAGATGTCTCTGCCCATAGCAGGGAGGGTTGGGACTAGATGATCTGTAAGGTCCATTCCAACGCTTACATTCTATGATTCTTTCTGGCAGGACCATCGCCCTCGGAATCTCATCGCACAAGGGCTGTGTTTAACCTCTCTGAGGCAGGGCCAAGTGGCTGGAGTGCTGCCCAAGGACCCAGTGATTCTGGCTCTATGAACTTTGTAATATCCAGCCCACCCAATGCTGTCATTGGACGATACAGCCTCACCCTCCGGGTGACCTCAGGGAACAAGATCACCTCCAGATTCCTGGGGCAGTTTGTGCTACTCTTCAACCCTTGGTGCACAGGTAGGTACCAATGCCTTTGCTCTTGGACATGACTGACCTTGTTGTTTTCCTATCTGCACAGTGAGCTTGCTCCCTCGAGCTGTCTCTGGGTCACCAGTGGCTGAAATCTCAGCTATGTGTTCAGAGATCTGGTTTAACAACATTGAAAAGCTGCTGCCACCACCAGCAGGTCTCTTTTATCCCACTGAAGTGTGCTATATGGGGTTACATCATAGGCTCTTTCTTCAGAACTGAGCAGATCACTTTTTCTGAAGACAAGGGCTGACACACTCCTAAGTGCATGTACTTCTCAGAACTTGAAGCAAGGATACAGTAACATCCCTGACTTGCATCTAAATCAAAGCAAGACTGTTCTTATAGATGTAAACTGCAAAGCTCAGCTAACTTTATCAAAGGCTGAGAGGGCTAATGTGAAGAAGATTGGCAACTCATAGAATAATAAAATTATTGGGTTGGAAGGGACTGTAAAGACCATCTGTTCCAACCCCTGCCATGGGCAGGGATGACACCCACTAGATCAGGTTGTGCAGAGCCCCATCCTGCACAGGGATGGAGCATCCACAGCTTCTCTGGGCAACCTGTGCCAGTGCCTCACCACCCTGTGGGTAAAGAATTTCTTCCTACCATCTAATCTAAATCTCTTCTTTCAGTTTATAACCATTTTCCCTTGTCCTGTCACTATCTACCTGTGTCAGAATTCACTCTCTCTCCTTTTTACAAGTCCCCTTTAAGTGCTGTAAAGCCACAATTCAGTGCCCCCAGAGCCTTCTCTTCTCCAGGCAGAACAGCCCCAACTCTCTCAGCCTGTCTCCATAGCAGAGGTGCTCCAGCCTTTGGAGCATCTTTGTGGCCTCCTCTAAACCCACTCTAACAGGTCCATATCTTTCTTATGTTGAGGACTGTGGAACTGGACGCAGCACTCCAGGTGGGATCCCACAAGGGCAGAGCAGAGGGGGAGAATCCCATGCCTCAACTTGCTGGCCATCCCATATTCATGAAGCCCAGGATTTAATTGGCCATCTGGGCTGTGAGCACACACTGTTGGCCCATGTCCATTTCCCATGTCTTTATTCATGGGTCAAAAATGGATGTCTCTTGTTACTCCATGTTTTTATTTCTGCATTTCTTCTATAACATGCTGAGGCAGCAAAATCCTAACCACAGATTTTGCAAATATGCAATAGTCTACAAGCATAGATTGGCCTTAAAACATGACACTCTAGACTTGAGAGCTCTTAACCATCCCACAGAGTAAACAGCTTATAAAAGAAAAGTAACCACAATCATCCACTATTTTCTTCTCTGACCATGTTAGTCAAGGGCCACTGAGAATTATGTTAAGAGCCAAGATGAAAAAAGCTGCTAATTAGCTCAGCAAGTCTTGGAAGTCAGAAATAATTGCAGAAGTATGTTCAGGAAATTCAGACTTGTCTCTGCACAGACAATCCTGAGGGAAAAACCTCAGGACTCCTTGAAAGATCAGTTGTGTGTAACTTGTAACTGATGGAAAACACAGTGCAGGACAGCAATATTTGACAGTTCCTGAACTGAACACCAGAGCAGCAGTGGTACTTGTGAGGACAGACAAACTGTTCTCATGTGAAAACTGAGAAAAACTAAGCTGAGCCATTACAATTTAAAACTAAGGATTTTGCAGAAGAGCCCTTCAGATTTACCAGATGATGCAATGGCTACTGACAGATGAAAGGGAGTATCCTTAAAGGAGGATGCTGCTGAAAAAGTTCTGAGGCGTGGAATAGCTCCCTGATCCTGAAAAACAGGAACAGATTCAGTTTCAGGGTATGTTGCCACTACTGTAAGTGTCATAGCAGAAAGGAAATAGAAAATTTATTTTCTGAGCGAAGTGTAAATGGCAGATCTGGTCTGTAGATGTGGTTCCAGGTGGAAGATTATTCTCTCAACTAGGGAACACAGAAATGTCCATGGGGATATGGTTTAGTAGTGACAGGTTAGTGGTTGGAATTGATCTTACAGGTCTTTTCCAACTTAACAATTCTATCATTCTAAACTAATAAGCTTATTATTTCACTAATCTGTTTGTTTCAATCATGTGAGGAAGACAAGAGTGATGCTTTAATAATATTAATAAAGTCTCTTAGGGACATTTAAAGAGAAATTTAAGGTACTTGCAAGCCTCAGAGAATGATGTGTTATGTTCTTATGCCATGGAAGGAATATACAGTTAAGTACTAGAATGAAGAGTGATAATCGTGAACTAAGTGATTGATCATACAGTGCCTGTCCATAGCTCACAACACATCAATCATAATGCTTTAGGGGACAAAATTACATGTTTGTTTGAGAATGTTGTACAATGTCTCTTCCCCCACCCCCCCCCAGATGTCTGATACTTGCCAGTTGTTTCTATGGCAAAGATCATATGAAGACAATACTACAAGTGTATCTATGTTAGAAAGTTTACTTACCTAGTGCTGAAAACCATCAATAGAAATTGACATCCTGCCTGTTTCTCACTGTGTCAGGATAAACTAACTTCAGAGAGGACAGAATGTAGAGCAACCTTGTATTCTTTTATTAAAAGACACTAATTTAATGAAGGATTAGGTCTATAGTCATTTGTCTTTCTCTAACTGCCAATAAAAGAGGACAATTGTGGCTGAGGTTTTTTCTCCTAGTGTGCTGAGAGTAACAGAAGAGAAGGGATTGTTGCCTTTTGGTGACACATGCAAGGAAGAGATTTGCTGTGGTGTGCTGTGGGGTTTATCCTCCTTTTAAACTGTTGTTAATTTTGCTCTGAGTTATTGGTAGGAACAGTGCTATTGTACAAAAAGGTTAAGTATACTTATTCCAAGAGTCATAAACTCACTGGGCTAGGAGGATCTTAGAAAGTTATCCAGTCCCACACCACACTCTGAGTTCACTTCAGCACTTAGGTCATTCCTGACAGGTCTTGAATTCCTTCTTAATGATCAGCTATTAGGGAAGCTCCAATTCCTCCTCCGGCAATTCCCTCCAATAAAACTTCAGCCTTTCAATGAGAAGTTTTTCCTATTAACTAACCAAGTCTTTCTTGGTTGTTTTAGATGAAATTACATGCTGATTTCAGCACATAACTTCTCATCCTACACATGATAGACACCCAGAAGAGACTTCCTTTCCCCTGCCCCATACTCTTCACAAGAATTTCTGGAATTGATTGTCATGCTTGCCCCATTCCTCACCCACATTTTTTCCTACCCTGAGTTCTGTTCATAAGTTAGATTTTCAGGATAGCTGAGCATCCTCAGTGCTTCTCTCACTCTAAAAAAAAGTCCACACCTTGCACACAGGTCTCCAGGCCCAGCTACTCCAAAAGCTTGGGAATCAACCATGATGATATTATTTTTTAAAAATGTGGACAGCAACCACAAAAATAGATTTACATCACATGATATAATTTCTCAAATAAATTGCAATCTTTTTGTTTGCAGGAAGGGAAGGATGGGAAGTTCCTATAGGAAGGTAAAGAAGTTGACTCAATTGCACACAGGTCTCCAGGCCCAGCTACTCCAAAAGCTTGGGAATCAACCATGATGATATTATTTTTTAAAAATGTGGACAGCAACCACAAAAATAGATTTACATCACATGATATAATTTCTCAAATAAATTGCAATCTTTTTGTTTGCAGGAAGGGAAGGATGGGAAGTTCCTATAGGAAGGTAAAGAAGTTGACTCAATAAAATAGAAAAGCTGATTTTTTTTGCATGTATTTCCTGAAATCCTGAAGCTTTCAGAATATAATTTAAAATATTCTGGAGTTAAACACAAAGCTAATTAGATATTACTACCTAAAGAGTAATCAAAACAATCTAAAACTCTGTGGGAAGCCAATGCTTTCATAGCAGCAACATACTGTGTCAGACTAGGAGAACCAATGAGTAGCAATGAAATCCAAATGAATGGTTGATAGACTAACCTAATAACACTCCTGATAGCACTTTGGATCAGGCAAGTAAAGATCTCCATTTAGGAATCTGAAACCAAGACAAACACAACTGGAAAACAGAAAACTGTCACCTGTTTGATCCTTTTCTAATGTCTGTTCTGCTTCCAACTACCCTAAGACAGAAAGATTCTGTGAGCTCACCTGGACTTTTCTCTATCTTCCTCACACAAACACTATGTGCAGCTAAGGGACATCTAGACAGTACACTCAGGCTATAGTAAAACTAGGGTGGGAAAAATTAACTAACATAATATGGACCTTTTTGTTCCCCACCCCCCCAGGCCATAGGCAATGTCAGACATTATCACTGAACTCTATATGTTCCTGGAGCTCTAACAATGTGTATTGCAAATAGAAGTTTTCTCCTTGCTAATCAGGACAAAAATGTTTTTGAAAGGTTGCCAGCCTGCTCAGCTTTAAGCCTGTCCAACTTGATTTTCAGGTGATGATGTTTTCATGTCCAATGAAAATGAGAGACAAGAGTATGTTCTAAATGAAAATGGAATAATCTTTGTGGGCAATGCAAGGTACATTGAAGCAAGAGGATGGTACTATGGGCAGGTAAGACATGGGAAATTCATTAGGACTCTTAGTCTGTCTCCAATAGCATTTCTCTTATTATTGGCCTCTCTGATCAGCTTGTTTGTATGAAAATTTAGCAAACCTGGCTAGCCTTACTTGTGGTTTGCTCACAATGTGCCTCACTGTCCTTACCACCTCTGGGCTGGACTATCTCAGCGAGGAGGAACTGCAGTAGAATCTCCTATCATTCAGTTTGTGAAACTATCAATTTTCTTAAAAATTTGTCTTATCTGATCACAGTTTCAAGACCTTCTAAACATCTGTCTCACCATGCTGGATCTGAGCCTGTACTACCGTCAGGACCCAGCCATGGACGTCTCCCGAAGAGGAGATCCCAAATACGTGGGCAGAGTAATCAGTTCTATGGTAAGAAATGGACAACTTCACTCAAATTCCACACACTGAAGCAGAAAGCATTAATTTTACCACTGAGACTCAGCCACCTGCACTTACACGATACAATTAACTAGATACAGTCCATTACACGGGATTGATTTTGTGCATTTTGTCCATTGGCCTATTTTTAGATCAATGGAAATGATAATGACAATGGAGTTCTCCTGGGAAAGTGGCAAGGAAGTTTCCATTCACATGAGAACCCATCCAGATGGGATGGCAGTGTGGTGATCCTCCAGAAATGGCGCCAGGACAACTACAGGCCCGTTCAGTACGGCCAGTGCTGGGTTTTTGCAGGTGTGATGTGCACAGGTAAGCTCCAAGAACAGAGCACTGTGGTCAAACAGAGGCACTTGTGGCCTCTGGTTTAACAAAACCACAAAGCAATACACTCTCCAAGAGGAACAGTGCTGTCAAGACTGCAAATGCTGAAGAATCACAAAATATTGACACTTCACTTTGTCATCATTGAACTTAACCTGTGTTTTCTGTTGTATTTGGGTTTGGGTTTTAATCTGTTTCAGTTCTGAGGTGCTTGGGGATTCCAACTCGTTTGATTTCAAATTTCAACTCTGCCCATGACGTGGATAGAAACCTGAGTATCGACAAGTACTATGACAGCTCTGGGAGGAGCCTTAATATTGGCAAGGATTCCACATGGTAAACACAATTTTTTACATCTCACTAATAACTACAGAGAGGGTTTAGGAGACTTTAAATCATGAGCATTAGTAGTGCAAAAGAACTGTGTGGACAAAATGAAATACAACTCTCTAGATTAATACTGTAAACATCCATCTGGGAAAAAAACAAAACAACATGGTTTTCTCCCTCCCTGCCCTGAGGTCACCAGCTCAAAAGGAGGCAGTAAATCTGTCCTTTGAAAGAGTTAATGAGCTACTGCAAACAGACAGCTTGTGTGTGGGTTTGGAGAACCTTTACAACCCAAAATTCACTACTCCTTTCAAACTGGAGGTTTGTACAACTATCTTATTGTGCTTTCTAGACATTGTTCTTTCTCTCCAGGGATTATCACGTCTGGAACGAAAGTTGGTTCATTCGCCCAGACCTGGGAAGATCATACAGTGGTTGGCAGGTTTTAGATGCAACCCCACAAGAACAAAGCAAAGGTAATAGCATAAGTTTTCAGTGTGATTTAAAAGCCCTTCCCCAAACTAAGCACAACTAATGAGATTTGACCTTTTTTTCCATGTTTTAGGAATATTTCAGTGTGGCCCTGCCTCTGTCCTAGCCATCAAAGAAGGCGAAGTCGACTTGGATTACGACACCTTATTTGTGTATACAGAGGTGAATGCTGATTGCAACAGGTGGATTGTGTACAATGATGGAACTAAGAAAAGAGTTTATTGCGATACAGAAATAATTGGCAGATCCATCAGCACCAAAGCCGTGGGCAGCAATTCCCGGGTGGATGTCACCGCTAACTACAAATATCCAGAAGGTAAAGGAATTATCACTCGTTATCTCCTTGTTATCAGCTCTATCTCCTACTGAATTCTTGGTGCTGGGAGGCTAGGATAGGTAACCTGCCTTGTTTGAGCATCTCTCCCCTTCCTTCAGGAAATATTTCTGCCAGTGTTCTCAGAACACTTTCTTAATACAATGAGTATTCAAAGCCAATGACTACTACCCACTATTAGTATTCCATGTGGGAGCTAGTGACATAGCCAACAGATGCCTAAAAAAACATTAGGAAGGATTACAGAAGCCTGGGAGAGATGGTCAAGGACTCTGGTGCCCAAGTCATCTTTACATCAATCTGTGAGGACCAGGGTGAGAGTTATGAGATGGTCAGAACAACTTGGAAGGTCATTAGTTGACTGAAACAATTGAGACCTTGAGCAATCTGACCTAGTGAGGAAGTGTTCCTGCCCATGGGACTAGAAGATCTGTAAGGTCCATTCCAACCCTTAAATTCTATGATTCTATTTCTGATTTGGTACATTTAACAGCTTCTTTATAAAGACACTATACAAAATATGCTTTAGTGCCTTACAGAGTAGTAGAGGCACAAAATGGGGTTATAAACCACATTTTACCACCCAAGGCAGACAAACCCTCAGGGTGTCATACCAAAACACCTTAAAACTGAGTCCACTCTGTATGATAAACTGTGCCCAGGTCTGCAGTATGGGAAGCTATAGGTTACTAAGTACTAGTTTTCCAACATATGTGGCAGAGAGAGTGGGGCAACAATAAAACTGCTAATCCAAAATCTTAAGCTTCCCATCCTCTGTACTACTCATCTATCTCCCATATAACCTCATGCTCAGTCTCTCCAAACAATGAACTTTGTTTTTGCTGTGTGACATTTCTCAGTCCTCATCTTTCCTTTTGAAGATCCCAAAACATGCCTCTCCCAAGACAAGTGACTAACTCAGTCTCCCTCTCTGACTGTATAAATTCACTGATTTAGGCTCTCTTACACTCCTGCTCTGGGATTCAGCCATCAGCTACCCAGCCCTCTCTGCATTATTGGATTCTGGAATCAAAACTACTAGAAAGAGTAAGGGGACTAAGTGTCATTCAACTGTACTTAGGAAAACAAAGCAGAAGAGGTTAAGAGCTGCAGAGCCATATGCTTGAAAGAG